GAGAAAAATATATTTAATCACACCATCTCTGGAAGCATACTGAGATTATTTATAAGAATATCACACTGAGTGTACAGATATCAATCTCTTAGCATTCATGAAGATTCTACCAAGTTGTCTTATCATCCCAAATAACGATAATGATCAGGAACTTCTAGTACAGGCCACTATCAGGTCACTATTAACCATTAAACCCTAATCTCAGATTTCTGATTCTTGCCCATGTGTTGAAAAGTCTACAAGAGTAAATCCCTTTGAAACAGAAATGTTACAGTAAACATATCTTTGCCAAACTTTTTCACTCATAAAACCTAGAGCAGAACAATTGATACCAATCGTTTCCTTTCTTTATAAAATAAATGCACAGAACCACATATCTGTTTTCTTGGATGGAAATATTGTCCTGATTGATTTCAATAAGCAGTAAAATAGCTGCTTATAGAGACAGAACTATGATAAGGTTCTGTATATATTTGACACTCTTTTTTGTTGTTTCTGCAGAGATACTCCCACTAAGTATCATGGGCTGGCCATTGAAATCACAATCTTCCCAAAAGTCTCCCAGCTGCTGGATTTGCAGGTGTGTGTGCTAGCAGGCCCAGCTCTTCACAGGTGTGTGTGCTAGCAGGCCCAGCTTCTGTCACTGCAAAGTAGGATGACAAGCCTTAAAACATGACAATCCTTAAAGCTACTTCATATTTGCATTTGTTATTCTTATAAACAGACGACAAAAATATAGTGTATTTAGATATAAAAAGTAGAGGGAGACTAGGATTTTTGATTAGCTTAGTTTAAGTTTTACATGCTCCATATTGCAAATGCCATGCAGATTCTTACTACATCAAAATGGTACACAATAGCATTGTATTTACCCATAAAAATTAAAGTAGGAAATTCTCAAAAAATGGGAATTATTACTTGAGTTAATCCAGACTCATAAAGATAAAAGAATGTAGATAGGTGTCACTATTATCATAGGTATAGGTCATGGGACCACAAAGGGAAAAGTGAGAGAGAAAAGGAAAGTGAATAAAGGAAATAGAATCATGTAACATGGAAGTTAGAAGACAGAAAGGTCTAAGTTAGAGTGGCAGGAGACAGAGGGAAGAGTTTTTAAAAACTATGTATGCAAATAACAAACAAAATTTATTACTTTGTATGACAAGTTAAAAATGAAAATAATTTTAAAATGAAAAAACTAGTCCTCTATTCTCCATAAAAATCATCATCAAAGTAATCATCTCAATTTTCAGCTTTAACTTTTGCAAGTAACTCCTTTCATATCAAGAAATTAATTAGTTGCAGAGAGCAAAATATATAATAATAAAAATAATAACCATGTGCATAAATTACTAATATATAACTTTGCTGGTTAGTCTTTGGTTAACTTGACACAAGCTGGACTCATTTGGGATTAGGGACCCTCTAGTATATATAAACATATCACACATACCCACTGGTCATTCTGCATTATACTTTGCTTAGTCGTGAAGTCTGAGTTGCACGTGGGTGATATAACTCCTGGCTGGATTTGCATTTATTAGCATTATCCTAGCAGAACCACTTCTTGAGAACTCCTTGTTGGTAAGCAACAGAATATAAGACTGGCCAGAGCACTTGTATCTTCAACACTAATAGCTAACTTTATTTTACAACACAAAGTATGGCCTCTGTCTTGGCCTCACCTGAATCACTTGTGGACTTTTTTGAAATGCAGAGGGACAGTCCAGTTTAGTTCAGAGAAATCAGAATGGACACTCAAACCAATATCAAAGTGCTCTCTCAGTATGTTGAAGTTTCAGAGACACTGGCCTACATCACAAATGATTTCTCAGTCACTTTGGGTTATGAAACTGCACATGTCTGATTCCTAGGCCATATTAGTTTTATCTATTGTTGTGTGGATAAATCACTGGCTGGAGTCAGGAGATCTGTGAGGGCACTCAGGGGAAAGCATACCTGCTATGGCCAGAGAAGCCATTTGGCCATGATTGAGTCTCACATACTTACACCCCCAGCAGTCTGTATTTTGAAGAATTTCTCTGACTATGAGGAAACAAAATGAATCCTCAATCTACTTTCCAGTGGTTCACCATCTGCTTCATGAACCTGAGTTATCTCTTAAGTAATGAGTATACTAGGAATAGTAAAAGGAGCTGCTCAGTTTCAGAAATTATAAGCCTATCACCTTGGAGAAAATAGCACCTAGAATATAAAATTGAGAAAAGATATGCAAACAGACAATGGCTGGAGCATAACTCTGAATCAAATTCTCATTCTAGCCCCTAGAACAACCAGTCCAAGAAGGAAAAGCACTGCCTTGATCTCGGGCTAACAAGCATCCATGGTCAGAAATAGATGCAGAGCTGAGAGTTTCTCTTGTATTTTATCTTTGTCTTCAAAAAGGCACCAACCACAGAAATGCAGATTCTATTCAACTATTCACTTAAGGTGCTCTTTGTAATTAGTCCATCAGCCTCCACTCACAGAGTACCTGAAGTTTCTTCACTAACACAATCACTTCTTTTTCTTTCATTTTTTTTTACTTGAAGTAGAAAAAAGATTTTTTACATATCAATCCCAGTTCCCTCTCCCTCCCATCCTCCCCTGTCAAACTCCCGCCCAACTAAAACCCTACCTATCACATATCGTTTCTGCTCCTCAGGAAGGGTGAGGCCTTCCATAGGGGGTCTTCAGAGTCTATCATATCCTTTGGGATAGGGCCTAGGCCCTGCCCCATGTGTCTTGGCTCAGGAAGTATCCCTTTATGTGGAATGGACTCCCAAAGTCCATACCTATGCTACGGATAAGTACTGAACTACTACCAGAGGCCCCATAGGTTTCTGAGGTCTCCTCACTGACACCCACTTTCATGGTGTCTGGATCAGTCCCATGCTGGTTTCCCAGCTATCAGTCTGGGGACCAAGATCTCTGCCTTGTTCAGGGCAGCTGTTTCTGTGGTTTTCACCAGCCTGGTCTTGACCCCTTTGCTGATCACTCCTCCTTCTCTGCAACTGCATTCCAGTTCATTTCAGTGTTTAGCTGTGGTGTAGGCTTCTACTTCCACCAGCTGCTGGATGAAGGCTATAGGATAGCATATAAGTTAGTCATCAATCTCAATATCAGGGTAGGGCATTTAATGTAGCCTCTCCTCTGTTGGTTAGATTGTTAGTTGGTGTCGTCCTTGTAGATCTCTGGACATTTCTCTAGTGCCTGATTTCTCTTTAAACCTATGTCTCCCTCTATTATGGTGTCTCTTATCTTGGTCTCCTCTATTTTTCCTCATCTCAACCTTCCTGCTCCCTCATGTCCTCCTCATCCCTTCTCATTCTCCTAGTTCCTTCTCCCCTCCCCCCAATGCTCCCAATTTGCTCAGGAGATCTTGTCCCTCTCCCCTTCTCAGGGGGACCATGTATGTCTATCTTAGAGTCCTCCTTGTTTCCTACATTCTCTGGCAGTGTGGATTGTAGGCAGGTGATCCTTTGCTCTATGTCTAAAATCCATATATGAGTAAGAACATACCATGTTTGTCTTTTTGTGATTGGGTTACCTCGCTCAAAACAACTCTGAGATACCATCTTACTCCTGTCAGAGTGGCTAAAATCAAAAACACCAATGACAGTTTATACTGGAGAGGATGTGGAGAAAGGGGAACACTCCTCCACTGCTGGTGGGAATGCCAACTCATATAGCCACTTTGGAAATCAGTATGGCGCTTCCTCAGGAAAATGGGAATCAGTCTACCACAAGACCCAGCATTTCCACTCTTAGGCATATACCTATAAGAAGCACATTCATACAACAAAGACATCTGTTCAACTATGTTCATAGCAGCATTATTTGTAATTGCCAGAACATGGAAACATCCTAGATGCCCCTCAACTGAAGAATGGACAGAAAAAAATGTGGTACATTTACACAATGAAGTACTACTCAGCAGGAAAAAAAAACACAATGGAATATTGAAATTCGCAGGCAAATGGATGGAACTATAAGATACCATTCCCAGTGAGGTAACCCATTCACATTCTTAAGGAAGATTAGAAACAGGTGCTGGCCCCATGGCTATAACAAACCAAACAAACAGCCTGTGTTTGCTCTCATCCTTAGGGTCTTTGCTTTCTTCCTAAAGATTTCATATTTGATTATGTTTGACTTATTTCACAATCATATTTTATGTCCTATTTTATTTTTATGGAATTTAGCCCCTTCTGGGAGACCTTGAAGCAACCCTTAAATCTGTTTCCAATATGCCCCTGCCAACTCACACTCATTCAGCCACTCTCCAGCAACCTTCTCCTCCCTTACGGAGGGCTCCAACCATAACACATGATGAATTAAATCCACAGAGTGATTAGTCATCCCAATTTTTCCAAAAATATAACTTTATTAAAAATGAAAGTCCTTCATCCCATGAAACTCTCCAGCCGTTAGCAAAGCTGGACAGTAAGTTAACTCTTTAAGTCTTTAATTTGCTATGCATTTCCAATACTTATGCCCTGTAAATGTGGTTCCTTCTAGCATGAATATTTGTCTCACTTCTCACTGACAGTATATAGACCAAATACACTTCTTTTAATTTACCAAGACCCTGTCTAAACAGTCATTCCTGGGCAAAGCCTCTTTGTTAGCATTCAACAAGAATTCTTTGCACCCTACTGCAAGGAACACTGAAGTATACTTTTTCATAGATGTCACCTAGTATAGATGTGATCTGGTCATGGTGGTCTGACCTTCCAGACAGTGGATTTCCCAAGAGCCAGTAGTGTGTTCCTCCATTACTGTCACTACTGCTCCCAGCCCATGTTTGTCTATTTCATGAATAAATAGACTGGTGACTTAGCATGTATGTTTTCAACCAATTGAACTTTTCTTTAAAGTCAAATCCTAAAAGTCACAAAGTAAGACAAACAGACAGGATATGTACACTAGAGCTTAGGCATCTTGTAAGAAAATAATGAACAATTAATTAAAACTTATTATCCAGAATATCTACTTACCTCAATCTGGGTGGTATTGTCCTGCCCATCATCCAGTAGTAGGTCAGTGAAACCTCTGGACTCTGGTGAGTCTTGTCCCATACTGGCTCTGTTTGTGTCTACTGCCTTAAAAGGGTCCAAATTTCTTTTCCACCTGTGGCTGTATGCTTGTGAGTCCACATCCACCCCATCTTCTCCTCGAGGAAAGGTCTTTGAAATATCATACTTCCAATCTGTAAGAGAAACATGCATGTTACCTCTAGGTGTGACCCATGTAGTTAATACCTATTAGAGTAGAAAATGTACCTAGGTTGGTTATTAGAATAGGAAACAAACCTATTATAATAAAACCGAATTACATGTCGTATTAGACATGGTATGGAAATCTGAGTATTATGGTTAAAAAAAAACGAAATGTGCCCCCAATTCATATATAGGATGCTTGGCACTAGAGCTGAGTGTCTTGCTAGAGGAAGGGGGTGACGGGGTGTGTCTTTGAAGTTTACACTTCATCCCAAGTTTCCTTCTTGCTCTTTCTGCTTCCTATCTACTGAGAGATGAACAGCTTCTTACCACACATGCTCATAGTGCCATGATGCTATATGCAAGTGCATGGGTAAACTTGTATGGAGAACCTCTGAAGCAGGACTCAAACAAGCTACGTTGCTCCCTGCCCCCAGCTATTTGATTCCAAGTGACATAAACATAACTGGTGTGCTGAGTACAGTACAACTACAAGGTACACCAAAAAAATGAACCAATGATTTCTGTGGTGATGGCTAAGCAGCCCTCAAACAATCAGCTGTACACAAAGGCATTTATCTTCCCTCTACATGTACACACACACACACACACACACACACACACACACACAC